ATCACCATTTTTTCGTCGGCCCGTATGTTTATATTTGCGTTTATGTTTATGCGTTTATGTTTATGTTTTCGTTTATGTTTGTGTTTCTATTTGCGTTGATGTTTGTGTTTAAGTTTTGTTTACACAGACAAAATTGATACACTAAGCTTTTCGGACTCAGGGAGTCAAAATCTTTATTTTTTGACTATTACAATATTTTCTCCATACTTCGTATACGAGAAAAAAGGTATTTAAAAATAACTTAAAACAAAAAAACCAAACCATTTCTTTATAGGTAGTGCCATTTCCCTTGTATTTAATAAGAATCTACGAGCGTTTAGGGTAGACTACTCTCGCTTTTTTTTGCAACGACATAGAAAAATTAGTTTCTTGATTTAAAAAAAAAAAATTATACTTTTATTTTCAAATAGAAATAATTACATCAGTATATACAAATGATTTTTTTTAATTTCATAAAAACGTTTTAATAACAAGCTTTTATGTAATAATGCACTAAAAAGTAGAAAATAAATTATACACTACTATTTAAATTACTAGAAAGAAAAGCGTGGACCACTTTAGTATCTCTTGGATACCTTTACTAATATTTAGGAAGAGACCCACGCTTTTTTTATAGTAATTCAAATAGTAGTGTATAATTTATTTTCTACTTTTTAGTGCATTATTACTTAAAAGCTTGTTGTTATTAAAACGGTTTTTAAGAAATTTTTTTTTAGTACTTTACATGTTGTTATTTACAATAGAGTTACATGACTAAAAACAATTTCGCAGCTATTGAACGTGATGACGCGCTTTTGCCGTGATGAGGCGTGTGGATAGAACTGCCTACTAATTTGGTCAAAATTTTAATTAATTCATAAAAAAATTAATCAGGCGACCAGTTAAGTTAAATTTAATGTCACGATGCATTGTCTTCATGTTTTGACCCACGTACCAATTACGAACCGTATCAGTCAGTTAAAAGTGCCTGCAATTTCGCTCGGCCGTTTCGATCTAAACAGACAGACAGACAGACAGACAGACAGAGGAGGTGAGTTAAATAAAAGCTTGTAAAACGTTAAAAATTTTCTTTTCTTTTTTTTTGAGTTATTTTGTTTAATTAGTGAAAAAAAATAGAATGATGGTGTTATCATACTGGTGCCAAAGAAGCTATTTGTTTTATAGAAGAACTTTCACTGCACCAATGCACAAGCAGAACTGCTGCAGCAATTCTAGACCTCTTGATATTTAAGAAAAATTACGTTCGCCGTATTTTGAATTTAGATATTGACGTATTCTTAAGTTACTAAATTGTATACCAAACAAAAGTGTAATATGGTTAACTTTTGAGTAGGTTAAATATAGTGGAAGAATACTTGAAAGACACATTTTATATAGCTTATTTTATAATTTACTCTATGATATATGTATAATTGTATTTTTGTCATTTAACAAAATACTAATTTTATAAGATTTATATTTTAAAATTTTACAATTTCTTTGCAGAAACTTTAAAAACATTTTATTACATGTTACCTACCTTGACATACTTTTTAAGGCAACAAGAAGTAATAAATTTAGAAAATGTAATGTAAAAAACAACAACACAAAAACCATCAAATAATTATATTCTAAAGATATTTTCTTACTACGAATTATTTTAAAAAACAATTCCTTTTTTTCTCTAATTTTCTATATAAAACACGTAATTTATAAATGAAAAAAAAATGTCTGTATTTCGTGTGTACGGAAGTGTCACTGTTTCCATGTTTCTAATTTTAGCCGCGTAAACTCAATGCTTGCATATGTAGGCGGGGCCACCCGTCGTTCAAACAGTAGCTAATGACGTCCCGCTGTGAACACGGTCCCTTAGATCAAACAGTCCTACTTCTATTTTAATCTGTTCCTGATTTATTTAACCGTTTTCCTGTTACTGTTTATTGACAGTTAAAGTAAGGGCGTTTATTACGCGTAGTATAAGTTAAGCGACCCAACTCATACACACACGCACACCTAGACGTACACGTATACATGTACACGCAAACACACACCCACACGGTGAATGAAGTTGTTATTCTGAAACAGGCACAAGTGAAGCGTACACCTAGGTTATAACAAAGTATAATTTCAGTCACGTGACCTCATATCGTGCAAATGTGCCTGTGTGGGGGAGGGGGGGGGCTAAAAAAAATCTTCCGGAGGCGTAGGATCTAAACCAGCCAATCTTTTATTGTCCACTCGTTGTGTTTGTGTGAGTCTTTAATATATATATATATATATATATATATATATATATATATATATATATATATATATATATATATATATATATATATATATATCTCTCTCTCTCTCTCTCTCTCTCTCTCTCTCTATATATATATATATATATATATATATATATATATATATATATATATATATATATATATATATATATATATACTAGAGTATCTGTTGCTAGTAGCCTACATAGCTAGGTCTAATATAGACGGTCCTATATCTAAACAAGTCGTATCCTGTTCTTGATATCTATTCATCCATCCATACGCGTTTAACCATTACTTTGTGAAACATATTTCATGTTCGTTATTTTTACTGTGTCTTTAGCCGTGTACAATTTACAAACGTGATACACAGATAGGCTCAGAATCACTACAAGTACACTGGCGGTGTGGGCTAAGGCCATATGTCACAGTCATAAGATTCGTGAACTGTTCCCATTACTTTTTAGTTGCTGTCGGTTTCATACCCTAGGATAAAACACAACAGAGATTTAAATTTGCTAGAAAAAGTACCACATTGAAAACATTTAAAAAAAATAAATAAAAATCAATACGGTTACAAACAGTTAATGACGGCTTATGAATCCAGTTCGTGGCGAACCCACAAAGGATTTTTTATTTCAAAATTCTATTCACGCCCTATCAGTGGGTTTTACTATTCTATTCCCACCGTATTAGTGAGTTTTACTATTCTATTCCCACACTATGAGTGACTTTTACTTGTACTTCAGCTATCAATTAGCTATTTTATCCATATTTACTTTGGGCTTCAGTTAAAAAAAAATGTAATGAAATTAAATGTACTAGAGTCTCAGCCTCGACTATTTTAAAAAAATTTAATGCTTACACCATACATTATACGTCAATGCGTTTTTTCCCTTTACAAAGTAGATAATAGAAAATAGACTTCACCCACAGCTTTACATTTAAAAATAGAACATAAAATAACTTCTTGGGACATAATACATGTGTATGTTATAAAGAACGTTCGATTGTGGTTTTATGATTATTCAAAGTTTAAACGATCGACGCCTTCAACTTTGATGGTTCATGGGTTTAGGGTAGGGTTCTATCCCCCCCCCCCTCCCCCACCATCCCTCGCCTACGCCACTGGCTGCTTGCACCACCCACACCGCCCATGGTAACATCGACGTGATGGTTGAACACACTACAGGGGTGCAACACCCACGCCATCATCCAATGATGCAGTGGATTAAATTAGAACATGTTTTTGTATTACAATGTCTTAGATTCTTAGATTATGTTTTTAAAAAAAAAGAAATTACCTGGTACTTAATTCAAGAAAGTTTGACGCTTCAATACATCTTATCTTTTCAAATGCTAAAAAACGTTGTATGGTTGAGTAGTCCCATAGAGCAGTACATGTTTTGGTTTGAAGTCGAGTTTTATAAAAAATTAACACACAGCTGGATTTAATGACGTCTGTAGACAGAGTGGGCGAGTGGCTAATTTAAAAATTACACCCCCCACCCACCCAAAAAAAAATGTAAAAATTTACAAATGTATTTTGGGGAAATACTGTTTTCTTCTCTAAATTATAATTTATACATCATGAAAGGTGTTAGTTTAAAGCTTTGTATGGAGAACTTTTGATGCCATCATCAGGCAATGAACAAATGTTTGATGACAGGTGAGGTCAGTGTTTCTTCCAGACTTTTTTTCTCCTTGGCACTCGAAATTTTCGGGGGGGGGGGGGGGGGGGGGGGGCGGCGGCGGTAAAAAAATTTCCGGGACTCTGGGTGAGGTAACTCTTTCAAGATAGGAACCGTAACTGCTTTACAACAGGGGCGGTAAATGCTTTATGACAGGAGTGGCAACTGCTTTATAACAAGAGCAGTAACAACTTCAAGACGGGAATGTACATCAAGTGGTGGAGTGATTATCTTTTCTTGGAAACTTTCTTTTTAATGTACCAAATCTTTTTCTGGATATTTAAGTACCACACACAAAATAATACATGCGTTTTATAGTCTACTTTATCTTGATAAATGTCAAACAAAGTCTTTTAACTCTAGCTATAGCATGGGTAGGTTCTTATGAATTTATCTTTATGGCAAAAATAGCCGCGGTTAAAAGCGATTTGGTAATTTGAAACGGGATACCGTTTCATGTATGGTATCTTAAGCCTAAAGTAGAAAGGGCCACGCATTTTGCGCATTGTGAAATAGCATAGCCATTAAGAGCTCGTTCGTTAATGACGCCACCGAATGTTTGCCCACTTCATACCTTACCACCCCTTCCGTATTTTTCACATAAAAAAAGAACTAGACTTTCCTAATTTTAAAACTTAAATTCTCACCAACACTAAAACAACCACAGTTGTAATGAAAATTTACAAGGTTTACTTACTATTTCCATTATCTCTTAAATCATTAATTTCTTTAAGAAAAAATTCTATTCATTTTCATAAAATAATATTTTATTTTTTACTAGAAAAGGGACGATCAGATTACGCCAATCCCACCTAACATAGTTTCTATTAATAAACAGGTATTCCAATACAATAGTGCAGTTATAAACGTAACTAAACCAATCAGGTTCCGGGACCAGGATATCCAGGATACAAAACGGTAACATTTACCTGCCCTTACACTTCCCACACACAAACAACAATACACGGTACACACAAGATGGCTTTTGATGTCATTTGTGTGGACTTTCTATTTATAGCTGATGGCGTAGGTCGTCCAGGTGCGTCATACTGTACCGTAGATGGGACATTTGTATAAATAGGGCAGATTCTGTCTTAGAAAATCAGATCAACACACAGGTCACAGGTAGATCAACGTGCAGAAGTAAATTACGAACAGACATTTTAAAAGTAAGTGTTAAAGGCTTGGATTGGTGATATATATATATATATATATATATATATATCTATATATATATATATATATATATATATATATATATATATATATATATATATATATATATATATATATATATATATGAGTGCGTTTTCAGAATATTGTATAACTATTTTTCTTTAAAAACATGTATGATCAAATTAATTACACAGTCAACTCTGTGTCTACTCAGTACCGATGAGTGCCCAGAATTAGTTGGTGGGTGGTGGCTTGTATTTTGTGTGCTGGTCAATTAACTGTCTGTTAATGGCTCTCACCTGTAACGGTTCTACACATACTTTAAGAGGAAGTTGATAAACTTTAGACAAAACCGTGTAATCTTAATCTATTTCGTGATTTACTTCTCCAGAATGACACCACAGATTCTGATCCTCGCTTTGACCGTCGGTCTGGCACTGTCCCTCCCCCTCACCAACAGATGTCCCCAGCCAACCACAACCTACCCCAACCCCAGGTTCTTCCTGTACGGCAGCCCCGACGACTGCCAGACGTTTTTCATGTGTGACCATGGCAACCCTATCCGTATGTCATGTCCAGCCTTGACCACCTTCAGCGAGACTTACCAGACCTGCGTCAACAAGGACAGCCACTACGACACCTGTACACGTGAGTTCGATTTTTGATCTCATCGATCACAATATAAAATGCTGAAATCAATAACAACTAGACAATTACTTCAAGTTAATGTCTTGCTACAATGTAGTAGTTGTGAGCCCTGGTATCTTCCTAGGCAATAGGGCTGGTAAGTAGGTCACCAACCAGTTCTATGGCTCAATAAAACCTGCATGAGACAAAGAGCTGGTTGCTGACCTACTTACCAGCTCTATTAGCCAGACTTTGGCTACTGTTTTGGCCGGCCTGAATAGGAAGGTTCAAATTTCGATAAAGTCTGAAACAAAAAAAATTCCCATTAGATAGTTTTTATCGAACGTTAAGACAATCAAACTTAAAAATCAACATAATGTAGCAAAAACTATAATCTCTGAAATAACAGAAAATTAAATAACAACGGAAATTTGATACTTTAAATGGGTATTTGAGAGTATGGTAATCTAATTTACAAATTCTAGTAATCGTTAAAAAAGTCTGTTTTCACTATTTAAAATTCTTACAGAAAATTACGAAAACCTGTTTAAATTTGATAAAATATAATTAAATTCATCGTTTAGTGTTACTTGTTTAATTTTAAAACTAGTAAAAAACTTTTAAACAAGACGCTCAAACAAATAATACACATCTTCCTCCAGGTGAGAACGCCATCCGAGAATGTTCTAGAGGATCCACCCTCATCGCCCACCCCACAGCCTGCCAGAGGTACTACAACTGCTCCGACACAACAGAACGCTACCACAGTCAATTGACTCAGTTTGAAATGGAGTGCCCCTACCCTCAACTCTTTGACGTCACTGAGAGACGATGCAAGCCTTACAGAGAGGCCTATTGTGGCCCTTACAGGGTTGCTGCTACCGACGCCTGTATGTTTATTTTTAAAACTTATATTTACATTCTAATTATTTAAATACACAAATAACCGCTGATTGTATCCAATAACTTACTGAGAATAATTATAAAAATTATAAAAATTTGTGGGGGAAACAAAAGGAAAAAAAAAGAATAGATTGCTTAAATACTTTAACTAATTTTTTTGATGTAAAATTTGTAATTGATTCGAAAGTTTACAAAAAGACATTGAGTATAAATCGCCCACGGAAATATTCCGGTTAATAATACAACAAATCTACTATAGACACTTTTTTTTGGGATAATTTTAACGTGATTCATATCTGCAGCAACAGAAATGTTTATTTGTAGTGGGCTAAATCTTTGTTTAAAAAAATAAAAATAAAGTTCACGCTTCAAATCTTTAGAGATTTACAAACTAACACTAACTACAAAGTTATCATTAAAAATGAAAATTTAATTAAATAAATTTTTTGACTGCAGGCGACTACTACAACAACCAGTGTGGCTCCGCCCACTGCCAGCCTTGTAGGAGTAGGTTCCCCTCATGTCAGGGTCTAGCAGACGGCATCCATGTAAGTGTGAACTTTAAATAAACCAATTTCTTCATTTAAAATTTAAGATAAGAATATCGAGCTCAGTTGGTAGTTAGAATAAGTACAAGGGTTATGTTAAGGCCTTGTTATTGGCTGCCAATTCAACTTTTTCAACTTCATGTATTTGGCTTAACACGACAGTACTCTATAAATATAATTTCAAATTAGTTTATCGAAATGATTATTTTTTTTCCTTTATTAGAATCTATATCTTTAGATCCTTTACTGAAATCTATATTTAGAAATAATGTACTAATGTTTGTTTGTATATGAAACAGGAAAACCCCGACCGCCTCTGGTCACCATACTACATCGGGTGTGACGCTGAGAGGGTGGAGAATTTGTTCTGCCCGTCCTCTCCTGTAGGAACCACCGGCATCTTCTCCCCCATCAAGAAACAGTGCGTCTCTTTGTGGGAGATTCCACGATCCAATGGCGGTCTAGCACCCAGCTGTGACGGCCAGTCCGCAGGGAAGTACAAGACAGTCGAGAACGCCAGGGTCTACTTCACCTGCCCCAGCGGGGATGTGTCCTACTGTCTCAACGGGAAGGTGTTCAATGAGGCAACACAGCAATGCCAATAGATCAGTTAATTAATTAATATATGTAATTTTACACGGAAACGTTTTAAACTATATTTTGAACATATATTGTTGTTAGTTTCCTCCTATGGTGGGGTTTTTACTCCAAGACTTTAATTTCACCGAATTATTTCTGAATTAAAAATAAGAAGACAGATTCCATGATGACGTCACGTAGTGATTTACTCCTCCTTTTAATCGTGTGTCTGAAAATGTTAAATTATTCAGGCCACCCTCTTCACGCAAGTACCCTCCCCTCCCCCATCTCAAATTCTAGCCTTACCCCACATTTAAAAAATATATTATCGGAAACTTCCATCTAACTGACCTAATTCTTGGGAATGTTTTGTTTTTGTTTTTAAGAGAACAACCCATGAATTAAAAATAAAGTAGGATCCGATCGATCATAAGAGATCCATGTTTCATTAGTTAGTTTTGTTATTGTGTTTTTGGTTTTTTTTTTTGTTGCCTACTTTTGCCAGTTGTTATTTATGCTCAACAACCTTAATTTATTGTTTGTATGACTTTTTACATTTTTAAAATAATAAAAAAATGTTTTTGTAATAATAAAATTAAAAAAACAATTCTTATAAACGTGTCTTAGTTATTATTTCATTTTATATTAGGAATTTCAATAAATTTGTTTTTAAAATCACGAAACCAGCATTCCAGAATTTTCTTAATTTAAAAAATTCAACAAGACTCTAGAGATACATTAAGATGTTGTATCAAAGAGACACTGCAACCACAGACAGCAATTTTCAGATGGTATATTTTAGCAGATGCAGTAACCTTTCCTAAAACAATTGTAACCAAGAAACAGCATTGTTCGTTAAAAAAATAAGTATGTAAAACTGGACTGGTTGAAATATTTTTTGGATATATTGTTTTTAGAATCTTCCCTATTACATTGTGCAATCACGTGTATATATGTTTTAGCTTATGTGAAATGGTATGCGTGATCTATATCTAGAACACAATAAGCGTCTTGTTACTTGTTTACCTATATCTGGTTCCAAGAAAGATGCGCAATAGAAAAATGCGCAACAGAGAAAAATGCGCAAAGCGAAATTGCGCAACAAGAAAAATGCGCAAAGAGAAATTGCGCAACAAGAAAAATGCGCAAACAGAAAAATGCGCACTAAAAAATACGCACACTGAAAAATGCGCACACTGAAAAATGCGCAAACATAAAATAGCGAACACAGAAAAAAAGCGTTGACCGAAAAATGCGCTAACAAAAAAGTGTGCACAAATAAAAATGCGCAGAGAAAAATGTGCAGAAAAAGACTCAAATATTTGCATACTCAGAAAATTACCCACAGATAGCTAACCAATAAAGATTATAGCAATATGCGTGTGTTTATGCGTGGATATTTGAGTTTGCCCATGACTTTGTGCATAGACAGACATTTTTACTTCAACGTCTGTATATTTTTATGAAATAATAAATGCTGGCTCATTTTCTAAAATAAATAAAAATTTAAATTGTTAATATTTTTCTTTTATAGATGCCGTTCGACCATAGGTGACAAGCCCACATTTTGTTTGACCACAGCCAAGGGTTGTCCACAGGCAGTTTGTTCACCGCGGGTGTTGATCACAGGTTACTTGACCCTTGGTGATTTGCATAATTAAGAGAGAGAGAGAGAGAGAGAGAGAGAGAGAAAGAGAGAGAAAGAGAAAGAGAGAGAGAGAGAGAGATGAGTGTACTGACGGACGCACGGTGGATCGGTCGTTCGGTCGGCTCGTCTGTCTGTCGAATTTCGGTGTAGTTGTGGGTGAAGACATAGTCTCGAGAACCAAAATTTGTCATATTATCTCTGATTACACAGCCCTGGTTGATAAACTGCCTGTGGACAACCTTCGCTGTTGCCCAACAAGGTGTGGGCCAATCATCTATGGTCGAAGAAACTTCCGTCAACAGAATCTATGTATGTATGATCGGAAAATATTAGTAATTTATGTTTCTATGCATTTTAGAAAGAGCGACGGCATTTTCTTTTAAATATACAGAATGGAGAATGAAATATATGTGTCTATATATACAAACATACACAGACCAACTCAAACACGTAAGCATAAACACACACACACAAACACACACACATTGTCATACTCATAATTGCCGAGAGATCTGTGTGTCATATTCTGTGTGCGGACTTTTCTTATTCGCACATTTTTCAATGTGCTCATTTTTCTGTGTGCGCACTTTTCTGTTTGCGCATTTTCCTGTGTGTGCATATTTCTGTCTGCGCTTTTTTTCCGTTGCTCATTTTTCCGTTGTGCATCTTTCTGGACACCCCTTTATCTAGTACGACCACGAATGTTTTTGTTGTTACAAAGAGCCGGATACGGATAAAGATAAAACTATTTATAGATCCGAATTAATTTACCGTCAAATGTTATTTAATCCTACCATTCCTTTTTTACTTTCTCGTATATACGAAGTATAGAGAAAGTATTGTAATCGTGCAAAAAAAAATCGAGATTTTTACAAATCTCGACGTTTTACATCTCACTGATACGGAAAAACATAATTTTGCAATCTTGTCCGTATGTCTGTGTGTCTGTCTGTCTGTGTGTGTGTGTGTAAACACGATAACTTGAGTACCGTTACAGCTAGGTTGATGAAATTTCATATAAAAGTATTTTATCAAAATCGTAGATCCTGATCAACTTTTGAGCGATTTCCGATAACCGGAAGTGGTACTTTTTCTACTTTGATTTTTTCAAAAGCCTATAAGTTGCGTACTATTTTAGATAGATGCATGAAATTTCACACGTAAGTAAAAGATCTAATTCTTTACCTTCTGTCAAATTTTGAGTAATTTTCGTTGACCGGAAGTAGTAATTTACGCTACTTCCAATTTCTCAAAAAACGCATGTAAATGTATAAAGTACTAATAATATCCCGCACTTTTATACACATCTTATTAGGCGTTCACTTGGTGTGGGACGGAGTGGTCTAGGGGTAGAGAGCTGGACTGCGGACTGCTAACCCGTTAGTCTCGAGTTCAAATCCGGGTTCAAGTCAGTAGACCGTCCCTGAGTCCACCCAACTCTGATGGGTACCTAACTCCTGTTAGGGAAAGTAAAGGCGGCTGTGCATAGTGCTGACCACACCATCTATTCATATGCCGAGGTCACAGAAACAAGTGAACTGTACTTCAGTTGCCCCATAGACCGTCAGGTTTGACAGGGAAACTTTTCACTTGGTGTGCAATTCTTTTTTTTACGAATTCTATTCTATTATAAAAAGTTTAAATAATTAAAAATGGATAACAAATATTGTCTATGCCCTGAGCTGTCATCCCTCGTAATTTTATATTAGAATATTCGAGAAAGTTTAGGGGAGATCACTCCCGGTTTATTTTCCTCACTACCGGAATCGTATTACATGTTTTATTACCAGACCTAATGCGCTATTTGAAATACCTTTATTTTTGCAGCTGTCATATAAATACAAAAATAGTACCTCGCTGTTGTATCAACAAAATAACAGTATAACATGAAGGACTTGAGGTAAATGAATGAGCAGTAAGTAGATACTGACAATTTTCTAGCAATCACTACGCGAAGATGGTTTGCTTGTTGCATAGGTTAGTATAGACGGATATTTATGTCTGACTCAGTTGATAGTGTTCGTTTCGCAAGTAAACAATCAAGTATGTAGACAGGACCAATAGATAGAAGGAAGTGTCTGATATCTTTATGTCCTACTTGTCCTTAACACTTTTTATTACAATATTTAAGCAGCGTCGACTTTTCCAAAAGTTGTAACTGATAACACTAGTCTATATCCTGGAGGATTAAGACGATAATAAAATAAACTTGATATGTTGCCGCATGCAAAAATAGTGTGTTGATGTAAACAAAGGCTGGATTAAATGATGTCAAGAGGATAAAAAAACACCCAGTGTAACGTGAATTTACGTGTATCAAGTTACACGTCTGGGTTCTTATCTTTGGAAAAAGGTAACCGTAACGCTCTTAAATCCAAGCAAAACGTTCTCGGTGTTTTTCTAAGAATGTCCGTTTATGATTTCTGCCGTGATGACATGACTTGAACCGTTACGCATGACTGCACACAAAGAAACAGGCACATATTTACACGGATTTGTTTCTTTTTTGGTTAAAGACAACAGTCAGTGTGTACACGTGTACCTATATGGATGCCCGCATGATCATTCAAGGTGGGGTTTAATTTAGACATTCCTCACAACCTAATGGACACTTAGGAATATATGAAAATTACATATATATATATATATTAGCGTGCTCGTCCCCGCGCCTTGCCGCGGGTTTAAAAGAAAGTCTGGCGAAATATATTAGGCTGCTTTCATCAATGCGATATATATATATATATATATATATATATATATATATATATATATATATATATATATATATATATATATATACAAGTTCCAACCAGCCATACATTTTCTGTATGCTTTTGTTGAACAAACGGTCTATTTTTATTGAGACCTAATTGCTGAACAAAATAAAATCTGAAACCACACAAAGATCCGGATCAAAAGATTTATTATGCTAAACTGTCTGTCTGTTGCGATAGGCACCAATCTAGCATGAGTGCTGAGTCTAGTTTTAGCTGGATATTTACGGCGTGACATCCTGTTTTCCACAACACCAACTGGTTTATGACGTAACATGACACCATTTAGGAAATATAAATCATTATTGTCACGACGCCCTTTTTTCTTTTATATAGTACTAGCGGGCCCATCCCCGCGCATTTCCACGGTGATAGAAGAAAGTATGATCTAATATTTTAAGATGGTTTCATCATTGCGCTAACAATCCTATATTCTTAGACGTGTGATCTCGTTTGCTTAACCCATATTATCCCAAGGTTTCAAATTTTTATAATTTTTTTGATATGGTTTAGCTTTTGGGCACTGAATGAAGGAATGACTATGGAATTTTAAAAAAAAAACAATACTTTTTAAAATATTGATTTTTTAAAAAAACGTCCAATAAATGGGACGCTAGCAACAAAAGGCCCCATGTACATTTATTGAAAAATAAAATCATTTATCACGAAATATGGCTAATCACGCAAAAATTAAGCTGTATACTGATTTTGTATTGTTAGACCAATGATTACATTGTTTAGGACAGCTAAAAATAATGATAATGATCAATTGGGTTAGCCATACCATGGTCTAAAATGCAGAAATTATGTTCAAAAGTCTAGTTTTTCTTTCAATCTAGCATCCATCAAAGTGAATAACACTTGGAAATAAGGAAAGCTGTGACTGGTACATCTAAATATATACACATGATCACAATTATTGTTATTATTCATCGAAAATGTAATATAATTAAATATAAATAATTGATTTTTTTTGGGGGCGTACTTGAAATTTTCAGGGGTGGGGACTTAAATTTCAGGGGAAGGGCGGACATTGGTAAAAGTATGTTTTGTATATAAATTCCATTTGTTCTGGGGGCAGATCCCCCCTCCTTCGAAATGATGCATGAAAGAAACTTTGCCCTCAGTGAATTTGCAAAAGATGATCCGGTCCAGTCCCAGATGTCATCCAGCCATTTTCTCTTTTGTTACCCTCGCTATTTCCCCCCTCCCCTCACAGGCGTACATTAGGACATCAGACATCTTATTTCTAGGGCCCGAATCCGTCTCTGGTGGCTTGCATTGAGTGTTCATGGCTCTCATCCATGTATGCACCGCGAACAGCTCCCAATCTAACACCCGGAATCTCCTTAAAAAGTTAACAAAGTAAAACTGGTATCAGGAACCTTTGGGGGGAATATTATTGGGACATGGCAACTGTTCACATTTAATTCACATTTCTGCTATATGTAGCTTAAGCTCTCTTATATGAAGAGAGTTAACAAACCCCCATGACTGAATCATTTCACCTAAATCGTGGTCATTGATATTATTCTGGTTTGTTATAATTTTAATATCACGCGCTAGTAAATTTACAGCAATACTAAATTAGTTTGTATTCAATGGTATTAAATACTTCAGTAAGTGTAATTCTGAAAATTTAAAAATAAAATGTAAGTTTTTCAATATTTGCACTTTTTTAATACAATAATATATAAGAAAATATAGCTCAATGTCATAATTAAATATCTATAAATACTACTTAACACCCCAAAGTTAACAGTTAACAAAGTCAACAATTGTTTCACAATAAATAACCATTTAACATAAATATTTGCATCTGTGTTTCTCGCTAGTGTCCAATAAATGTGACGTTTGTGTAACAATCTGCATAAATATAGGTCAATGTCATAATTAAATATCTATAAATACCACTTAACACCCCAAAGTCAGCAGTTAACAAAGTCAACAATTTTTTCACCATAAATAACCATTTAGCATAAACATTTGCATCTGTGTTTCTCGCTAGTGTCCAATAAATGTGACGTTTGTGTAACAATCTACATGGGGCCATTCGTTGCTAGCGTCCCACTTATGGGACGCTTGTTGTACATTTTAGCAATTTTTTTACAAGCCTCCCATAAGTGGGACGCTAGCAGAATATGGGTTAATGTGAGTTATTAAAACGGAAACAATATCTGCGCGTGCATCATATTTATTGGGGCATGGGTTTACCTACACTACCGCATGGAAGCCTTGAGTGTTCGTTAATCACTAACCGTAATAGTGAGGTGGAACAGAATTTGGTGACCGCCCAGGTGTCTAGGCGTAGAGGGGAGCTCTCGGAAGCCCTTTATTACACTATTGCAGGGGGGCCGCGTACTACCCCTTGCTCCTTGAAACTAACATTGGCGCCATGGTGCTCACATGATAACCCAGGGCGCCAAATAGCACCGTGCCGGGGTGAATTCGGTGAATGACTTTAACGCCCCATCTTATCTCTAGTCTATTGCACTGTTAAAAATGAACCAAAGCGACATAGTGATCACGGGATAGCCCGGGGCACCAATTTGCACCCTGCCAGTGCTCCGTCGAACGCGCCTCATTCAATGTAATGAGTGACCATAACGCCCCATCTTATCCATTATCTATCGCATTGTTTAGAACGAACGTAGGCGCCATTGAGTTCACAAGAAAGCCAAGGGCTCACAATTGAACCCTGCAGGGGCGCCGGTGGACGCGCAATTCGATATAGTCAACGATTATTGTTGCCCATCGTGTTTTTAGTGTATAGCCTTTTTTTGTAAAAACGTATGCGCCATAGTGCTCGCACATGTGCCAGTTTTAACGCTGAATATAGTAGTACTTATTACCCGCTATGCAAGACGCCCGATTAACGAATGCCAAGTGCTAGCATAGCCGCTCTGGAACTCTGTGCACCAAACCGTGTATTGACGAAAATTGTACCCCTCGGGCGCCGCCCATTAGAATTTTTTTTTCGCAGAAATCTTCTCAGGTGTATTCTATTCCACAAAGATTTGGTTGGATATTCAAGTTGTCACTTCCTGTTTCACTTTATGTGTGGGGAATCTGTATAAATAGGACAGAAGCTGTCGGAGAAAATCAGATCAACCCACGGGTAGAGCACAGCTAGATCACAGGTAGATCACAGGTAGATCACAGGTAGATCACAGGTAGATCACAAGTAGATCACAGGTAGATCACAGTTAGATAACTAGAAAATTAATTTAAGAACATGTATTTTAACTTAAGTGTTAAAGGCACAATGTTTTTTTTGCAAAGGCATTTATATATATATATATATATATATATATATATATATATATATATATATATATATATATATATATATATATATATATATATATATATATATATATGCATGTATTCAAAATCTCTTTCGTGAACTACTACTATAGAATGACACCACAGTTTCTGATCCTCGCCTTGACCATCGGCCTGGCCTGGTGTGGCCCCCTCACCAACAGATGTCCCCAGCCAACAGAAGGCATCCCTAACCCCTATACTTTCCTGTACGGCAGCCCCGACGACTGCCAGACGTTCTTCATGTGTAACCATGGCAACCCTATCCGTATGTCATGTCCAGCCACAACCACGTTCAGCGAGACTTACCAGACCTGCGTCAACAAGGACAGCCACTTCGACACTTGCACACGTAGGTTCGATCTTTGATCTCATCGATCACATAATAAACTGCAGAAATCAATAATAGCTAAACAATTACTTCAAGTTAGTTAAATTGATGCAGCGCATTGTAATTATAACCCCGTTAACTCTCTAGCAATATAGACAGACTGTGCTATAATTTTAATGTGCTTAGCTGTCGACGTCGTTATTTCAGCAAACCGGATTGTAATGTTTGAATTTCGAAATTTTAAATCACGAAATAGAGAAACAATAAAGCAATATTAGAATCTACATTGTAATCTACATTGGTTACAATTATAAAACGTAAATTTCAATAAATCCTAACCATAAACATAATTCTTTAAAAGAGCACTGTAATATATTGAGAATTGTGAAGTCAAGGGAACTCACTCTTCTTGTATTAGTCTTATATTTATAATGTTGTTTTGAGTGATGTCCCTTGTATATATATATATGTCATGTGACTTCCTCTTCCTGTTCCATCATGGTAGCTGAATAAAAGTCTAGATACAATCAACATGGTCTCTGTCGTCAGTGTATCATTTATAGAAACATCAATCTATCACATTTGGCGACGAGGATAAATCACTCCACTAAAAAGAGCACATGCTTACTTAAAAAGAAGCTTGCTAGAGCATATTGGCTAAGTATTTGTAGGATAATGGCGCTGTATGGCCAGATAAAAGAATTTAATTCGAACGATGAAACCATTCATGATTATCTAGATAGGTTAAGCTTTTACCTTGAAGCTAACGACGTGACGATAGAAGCCAAAAAGAGAGCTGTTTTGTTAACAGTCATAGGGCCTCAACAATTTAGGCTATTAAAGGACTTGTGCGCACCAGCTAGTCCAGCTACCAAGAGCTTTAACGAGCTGAGCAAACTGCTAACAGACCACCATGCGCCCGCACCATCAAAGTTCCTGTGTAGAGCCAGATTTGACGGTAGGACTCGTCAACCAAACGAATCAATATCAGAATATGTTGCTGCTTTACGTCATCTAAGTGAATTCTGTGAATTCGGGGACACGCTGTCCGATAGACTGTGTGAAACGTTTGTGATAGGTATAAACAGCCCTGATGTTCAAAGAAAGTTGCTTCTCGAGTCAGATCTAAAATAGGAAAAAGCAATACAACTTGCAACTTTATTCCAGCAGTCATCCGAGGCGGTCAGTTCTCTAGCGCCCTCAAGGATCCATGCAGTAGACAGCAGGTTAGTCAACAAACACCAACCCCATCAGAGCATTTCAACTTATGCTAAACAGCCTGCACGTTCAAATCCTAGATCTAAATCTAGTAATAATTATCAAAAATGTCATCGATGCAACGGTCCCCATGCATCTCATCGATGCAAGTTCAAGTCAGCAACTTGTTATAAGTGCAGTTAGCAAGGTCACATTGCCAAGGCCTGCTTTGCAAAGTCTTCGTCTGTTGCTAGATCTAGCCAGTCAAGACAGTACCGCAACCAAAGGCAGCACTATGTTAACTGTCACCAAGACAACCTAACCCAACCACCGCTCTACCAGTGAAAGTGCTCAAACTGATTCGCAGCCGGAGTTCAACCTGTTCTCTGTGAAATCAATAAGTCATGCTCCCATTAACGTACCAGTTTGTATCAACGGTAAGAGCATCATCTTCCAACTTGACACTGGAGCATCTCTAACCGTCATCACAAAGAAGGATTTTGACGCTGTCACAGGAGGATTAGTGCCTCTACAACCATGTCACAAGTGCCTAACAACATACACAGATGACAATGTTCCGGTGATAGGAGAGTGTATGGTTCATGTAAGTTATAATGGTCAAAGTGTTAAACTTCCTCTTCTTGTGGTTGAAGGAAATAGACCACCATTACTAGGTAGGAACTGGTTAGTTGATCTTAAGTTAGACTGGGGGAGTATATTTTCAGCGAACAAAGCAAGAGAATCTAGTTTTACTTCAATAGAAAAAGTTATATCTGAAAAAAATGAAGGTGTCTTAGGTAGTTCAGGATTACTAAATGATAGGACAGTGAAGATAAGCATTAAAGACACAAATCCAAGATACTGCAAAGCTAGAGTTCCACCTTATGCAATGAGGGATAAAATTGAAAATGAGCTAAGTAGATTGGAATCTAATGACACCATAAAGAAGGTAGACTATTCCGATTGGGCAACGCCCATTGTGCCAGTGTTAAAGAAGGATGGTTCTGTAAGAATTTGTGGAGACTATAAAGCTACACTGAATAAGCAAATAGAGCTAAATAGGTACCCTATTCCTAACATTGAGGAAATTTCTTTGAATTTAGCAGGAGGAGACAAATTCACTGAATTAGACTTTAGTCATGCTTACACTCAACTAGAACTGCATCCAGATTCAAAAGTCTATACGACAATAAACACACATAAGGGACTCTACCAATATGAAAGACTATGTTTTGGCATATCATCTAGCCCTGGAATTTTCCAAGCTGTCATGGACAGTATTTTTCAGGACATTCCAAATGTTTTTGTTTACTTTGACAATGTGTACATAACTGGTAAGAATGACACTGAAAATCTTAAAACACTTGATAAAGTCTTGAAAATAGTTGGTGAAAAGGGTTTAAAGATAAACAAAGATAAATGTCAATTCATGCTGACAGATATTAGTTTTCTTGGTTATATTTTGAGCAGACAGGGTCTCAGACCTCAACCTGAGAAAACAAAAGCCATTAAAGAAGCACCCAAACCTGAAAATACCCAACAGCTAAGAGCTTTTTTGGGCTTGATAAATTACTATGCGAAGTTCATAGGGAATCTGTCTGATAAACTATCACCACTGTACAAGCTGCTGCAGAAAAATGCAACTTGGCACTTTGAATTTTTTCCCTACTTGAAATAGTCCCTTTTTGTTAAATTTCACACCTATTTGAAAAACATTTAGTTTATATTTTAAAGGAATTTTTATTTTATCCAACTGTTTTCTTCGTTTTTTTTGTGTAGTCAAAGAACGGGGGAAATTAAAACTTTAAATTCCTTACGCTGTTACTTCCCTTTAATAATTAAAATTGAGGAGCAAAATCGTTGAATTATTAACCCTTTATAAACCACTAGCCATCGGTACCCGTTTCACGTGAATCATAGGCCTATATATTTTAAAATGTTGAACTTGTTTGAGAAAAATAATTTATAAAATAGTTATTTGTCAAACGCAATGTGCATTACTACACGCTGAACGATATTAGTGACAAAGCAAAGAAATAACTAATTAGCTAAAAATCCGAAACATTTAAAGTAAAAACTGATAAAGTTTAGGCCGAGAAAATCGTAATGTATACATTTCATAGCGTACGTAGCTATAAAACATATATGAATGAAATAGTTCATTTCTTTATTTCTAAACTCGGAAGATGACGTCATTAGTTTCGTGCTCTTGTTTTTAGTGTAAACATTAAGTGACGTCATTGTTAAATGTGCTCTTGTCCCAACTATAAACATTTTTCCGGTTGCATAATTAAAATTGTTTTTCTACATTTGAATCCGCCTTTATTTTTTTTTCTTCTTTAAATAAACATTTAAAACATCTACCATCTACCATATCATAGAGAGAGAGAGAGAGAGAGAGAGAGAGAGAGAGAGAGAGAGAGAGAGAGAGAGAGAGAGAGAGAGAGAGAGAGAAGTGCGCAAATGGGCTTTTATATATTAGGATTGTCGCATATGCAAATGGTCGATCTAATTCAAGCACATAAAAAATTTATAGTTTATATAAAGCAGCGGGCCACTGTAGATCAGTTTCAGGTCTTTTTAAACTCGATTATTGAGATGACTCTAATTTTTCCGGTAAAAAGAAATTGAACAGCAAAATTTGGCAAGAACACTATCCCTGCAACTTACCTGCAAGTACCCGATCTAATAGGTGTGAGTAACAAACATCGCCCCATTTGTGCTTTTATAAATATAGATAATATGATAAGTATTGATCACAATTCAATTAGCTCAACCAAATACCCGAGTGTCTTTTACTTCTTTTGTAACGGTAATGTAAAGACGATAGCAAATCCAAATGTATAAAGTTTACTTCTTTTCAAACCAATAAGGTACATTTTGAAAAATTCATTTAAAATACTCTAAAAAACTTTGTTAAATTTTTAGGCACGCAAAATGTCAGTTTTAGCCATTGCTTTGTCTAACCTTTTTAATTTAGCTTTTAACTTAATCAACTTTTTAGTTCATTTACTTTAAGTTCGAATTTTACTTCTTTATGTTCGCATTTTACTTGTTTGACTTTAAACCTAGTTCAACTTCGGGACAACCACTTTAAAAAGTTGTGCCAACAACATTGAAGAATATCTTCTTCCAGGTGAGAACGCCATCAGAGAATGTTCTAGAGGATCCACCCTCATCCCTCACCCCACAGCCTGCCAGAGGTACTACAACTGCTCTGACAACACAACGAGGTCTATCTTCAGCCGATTCACTCAGTTTGAGATGGAGTGCCCCTACCCTCAACTCTTTGACGTCACAGAGAGACGATGCAAGCCTTACAGAGAGGCCTATTGTGGCCCTGAAAGGGTTGCCGCTACCGACGCTTGTAAATTGATTTAGGGAATTATCAACTAATGCATCTATATTAGCAATACTTACATTTGTAATTACCTTGAAAATAACAAATAATTTTAAAAAATATATAATTCATAATTATATTTTTGTCTTCAGGTGACTACTACCGCAACAAGTGTGATTTATTAGCTCGGGGCTGTCGACCATGTAGGGACTGGTTCCCTTCATGCACTGGTCTGGCTGATGGCATCTATGTAAATACAAACTTTAAATAAACGGAGTGATTTCCCCTCAAGTTTCTCTTATAACAGTTAGGGGGGGGGGGGGTAACATTTTCAGTGTAATCGTGACATAGAAGTATTTTTTAATTAAAACTTTATAACTCTTAAATTTTTTAACAGAATAGAATCGAGTAGAAAATGAACGTACACAATATGTGCATGATTGAGCGAAAAATTAGTACTTATAAAGGAAACATTAGATAATTTTTTAAAAAGTTAATTAAGTCACATTTTATGTCACATTGCATTGTCATCAAGTGTTTACTACGTGAAAAGTTTGAAAATAATGAGTCCAGTAGAAGTGATATTTTCTGAGAAATCAGAAATACCTTAAAGTATTACTTCCTGTCACAGGAAACCACTCAAAATTTGACAGAATCAAGATAAGGAAATTTCGTTCACCTAAATGAAACATACGTTATCGATATTTTAGAAACAGGAAATAGAGTAAAATACCACTTTTGATAATCGACGGTCACTGAAAATTTGTTACATATGCTATTTTGACTGCCTAAGTGAAACAGCGCTCACGATATAAGCTTTTAGAATTCAGAAGTGGAGTAAGTAATACTTTCGGTCACCGGAAATCGCTCACAAGTTAATAGAAACTACACATTTGATATAATATTATCATAAAATGTATTCAAACTACATGAAACACTGTCAGATGTTGAATTTCAAGATAAGAACTTAGTGCTCAGTTGGTAGTTAGAGTTAGGCCTAGTGATCTGGCGATGCCAATTTCTAATTTCTTTGTTAGTTTATTGTATTCAGCTTAACAAGTTTATACTTTAAAACTATTATTTTAATAAAATGATTTATCGAAATAATTATTAATTTTTCTTTCCTATAAATATGTTGCTAGAGATCCTTTTACTGAAACCTGTATTTATAAATAAATTCAGATGTTTGCCTTTTTTTTTAAACAGGAAGATCCCTTTCGTCGCTGGTCATCACGCTACATCCAGTGCGAGGATGAGAGGGTTGAAAACATGAACTGCCCCAACTATCCCGTGGGATACCCTGGCATCTTCTCCCCCATCAAGAAACAGTGCGTCTCTTTGTGGGAGGTTCCACGAACCAATGGGGGTCTGGCACCCAGCTGTGACGGCAAGGCCGCAGGGAAGTACAAGACCGAGGAGATTGACAGTGTCTACTTCACCTGCCCCAGCGGAGATGTGTCTTACTGCCCCAACGGGAAGGTGTTCAATGAGGCCACACAGCAATGCCAATAATCCACGCTGATTGCCTGGTTAACTGTACCTTTGACCATACAATCTATGTAATTTTTTTAAATGTAAGTTGTTAATTTCTCGTATGATAGGGTTTTAGTTTTAAGCTTTAAATTCACTGAAACGTAACCTTTAAAATAAAAATAAAAAGCGAAATCCAAAAAAAAAAAAAAAGTAAAGAATTGAGTTACTCCACACCACGCGTATCTATCAGTTGTCTCAAAGTAGCAAACTATTCAGATCTGCACCCTCCTCTCTATCTTAGCCCCTTATCTGAGCCTATGTCAACCACATTTTTAAAATGCAAGTTAAACAATTTTAATCTGTTATATTGTTGACATTTTACATTTAAAAGTTTAAAAACACTTCATAAATAAAATGAAAAATAAAGAACCAACTATTTTTTATTTTTTGCTTAGTTTTTATTTTTTATTTTTTAACAATAAAAATTAGTTTAAAAGTATTTCAAAACATTCAGTTTACGAGAAAAATGGCCCTTTGAGGAAGGATACAACGGGCGCTAGGTTGATATTGCTGTCTATTTTCTCTAAACTAAAACGTACTCCCCCCCCCCCCCCACACACACTTACCGTCCCATTCAAAGAAATATAATTATATACTTTTTCCAGTGTCCGCCCCCTCCCAGAAAATTCTACCCCCGCCCCCAAAAATTTCAAGTACCCCCACCCCTCTCCGGGGAGGAAAAAGTTTGAAAGAAACACTGGTCGCATTTGTAAATCATACAAACTAAAGGAAGAACCTGGGCGGGGCTTCGCCCCTACCGGAAGAAATGCATGAAAAAAACTGCACACTTTTTTTAGATTAGAAAAAGTTCCTCCCTTCGGGAAGGAAAAAGTCTGAAAGAAACACTGGTGTCGCGCTTAGCAACTACCCGAAGAATTGCATGAAAGAAACTCTGCTCGAAAACTACTTTTTAGATTAGACACATGAATTAGGCGGTAATTTTATTATAGAGTATCGATGACGATATTTCTTTAGAGTTCTGGGGGGGGGGGGTCGGCTTAGACGTTCTTACAGGGGGATGGGCTTCGCCCCTACCCGAAGAATTGTATGAAAGAAACTAAACTCTTCACGCAAACCACTTTTAAGATTAGACAAAATTGGCTTTTTAATTCAATGTTTATTCGAGAATCAATGACGTCATATTACTGTGTGCACTCTCCGGCTTGATACTATTTTCTACTATATGCTAAATGTGACGTCATATTTCGTTTTCGTTTTACTATGCATGTTTTTAATTTGCTTGTGTTTTCTCTATAGCGTTCTTGTCAGATAGATACACAGATAGATAGATATATACATAGACAGACAGCGAAAACTATTAGTATTAACGAGAAAAATGGCCCGTTGAGGAAGGATACAACGGGCGCTAGGTTGATAGTGCTGTCTATTTTCTCGGTACTTTAATTTATACAAAATATAGTCATAGGCATATCCCTAAACCATGCACCTAATCCCATTCATGACAAAAGTCGCATTTAGAGTTTCTTTCAGGCAACTCTACTTGGGAGGAGGGGGCTTCACCCCCCTCCCCCCCACACACACACTCCAAAACATGTCTACCGTCCCATTCAACGAAATATAATTATATACTTTTTCCAGTGTCCGCCCCCTCCCAGAAAATTCTACCCCCGCCCCCGAATATTTCAAGTACCCCCACCCCTCTCCGGGGAGGAAAAAGTTTGAAAGAAACACTGGTCGCATTTGTAAATCATACAAACTAAAGGAAGAACCTGGGCGGGGCTTCGCCCCTACCGGAAGAAATGAATGAAAAAAACTGCACACTAAACACTTTTTTTAGATTAGAAAAGTTCCTCCCTTCGGGAAGGAAAAAGTCTGAAAGAAACACTGGTGTCGCGCTTAGCAACTACCCGAAGAATTGCATGAAAGAAACTCTGCTCGAAAACTACTTTTTAGATTAGACACATGAATTAGGCGGTAATTTTATTATAGAGTATCGATGACGATATTTCTTTAGAGTTCTGGGGGGGGGGGGGGGGTCGGCTTAGACGTTCTTACAGGGGGATGGGCTTCGCCCCTACCCGAAGAATTGTATGAAAGAAACTCTTCACGCAAACCACTTTTAAGATTAGACAAAATTGGCTTTTTAATTCAATGTTTATTCGAGAATCAATGACGTCATATTACTGTGTGCACTCTCCGGCTTGATACTATTTTCTACTATATGCTAAATGTGACGTCATATTTCGTTTTCGTTTTACTATGCATGTTTTTAATTTGCTTGTGTTTTCTCTATAGCGTTCTTGTCAGATAGATACACAGATAGATAGATATATACATAGACAGACAGCGAAACTATTAGTATTAACGAGAAAAATGGCCCGTTGAGGAAGGATACAACGGGCGCTAGGTTGATAGTGCTGTCTATTTTCTCGGTACTTTAATTTATACAAAATATAGTCATAGGCATATCCCTAAACCATGCACCTAATCCCATTCATGACAAAAGTCGCATTTAGAGTTTCTTTCAGGCAACTCTACTTGGGAGGAGGGGGCTTCACCCCCCTCCCCCCCACACACACACTCCAAAACATGTCTACCGTCCCATTCAACGAAATATAATTATATACTTTTTCCAGTGTCCGCCCCCTCCCAGAAAATTCTACCACCGCCCCCGAATATTTCAAGTACCCCCACCCCTCTCAGGGGAGGAAAAAGTCTGAAAGAAACACTGGTCGCATTTGTAGATCATACAAACTAAAGGAAGAATCTGGGCGGGGCTTCGCCCCTACCGGAAGAGATGCTTGAAAAAAAACTGCACACTAAACACTTTTTAGATTAAAAAAAGTTCCCCCCTCCGGGGAGGAAAAAGTCTGAAAGAAACAATGGTGTCGCGCTTAGCCACTACCCGAAGAATTGCATGAAAGAAATTGCAAGAAAACCAATTTTTAGATTAGACACATTAATTAGGCGGTAATTTTATTATAGAGTATCGATAAAGAAATTTCTTTTGATTTCTTACTCGGGGTGGGGCTTCGCCCCTACCCGAAGAATTGTATGAAAGAAACTCTTCACGCAAACCACTTAGATTAAACAAAATTGCCTTTTTATTCAATGTTTACTCGAGAATCAATGACGTCATATTACTGTGTGCACTCTCCGGCTTGATATTATTTACTTCTATATGCTCAATATGACGTCATATTTCGTTTTCGTTTAACTATGCATGTTTTTAAATTGCTTGTGTTTTCTCTTTAGCGTTCTTGTCAGATACATAGATAGATAGACAGATAGATAGATAGATACATAGACAGACAGCGAAACTATTATTATAGATGATTTCTCTTTGATAAATTTTAAAATAGAAAATATTTTGTTGAGACAAGTATTGCTAAAAGAAACATTACTTAGTTTTGCAATCTTGTCCGTATATCTCTCTCTCTGTGTGTGTATGTCTGTAAACACGATAACTTGAGTACCGTTACAGCTAGGTTGATGAAATTTCAAATATAAGTATTCTATCAAATTTGTAGATCCATCTCAACTTTTCAGTGATTTCCGATTAACAGAAGTGGTACTTTTTCTACTTTGAATTTTTCAAAAGTCTTTAACTTGAGTACTATTTCAGACAGATACATGAAATTTCACATATACGTCTGACTTCTATCACATTTTGAGTAAATTCCAATGACCGGAAGTAGTAATTTAGGCTATTTCCGATTTCTCAAAAACGCTTGTGAATTTATAAAGTACTAATTATATTCCATACTATTATAAACATTTTATTTGGCGTTTACTTGGTGTGCAACTCTTTTTTCTACGAGATTCTATTTTTACATAGTTTAAGTAATTACAAATGGATTAAAAGTATTGTGTATCCCCCGTTGTGTTATATAAGAATATTCGAGACAGTTTAAGGGAGATCATTACCGGTTTATTTTTAAATTACGGCACAGGACAGAACAGCATGCAGGTATGTTGTAATTGACCAATGATATATAATATAAGGGAGTGCATGTTATCTCTATACTTACTGGAAACAATTATTATAATAGTTGAGTGTCGACCTTTCCAAATTACTAACTGATAGCATTGGTAGACTTCCTGGAGGATTTGGACGATAAAAAAAGTGAACTTGCTCTTCCTGCTTCATGCAACATTGATACAGATACGTAAACAATATCTTAGTAATAAGATGTGGAGATAATCAAATAAATAAGATACCAGCCTGAAAATTTATAAAGCTGAGCTTCCTGGTTCATATCTTTTGCCGATCTTAATGTGCTTTTAAACCATGCAGAATATCAAAGGTGACATTCTATGACTTTCATCTCATGACATCTCCTGCTGATAGGGACATGACTTGAGCCGTCACACCTGAATAAGTTGCTTCTTGTTTTGTACACACATGTCTACATAGACCACCACCGTTTGCCGACATGTACACTAGCAGATAATACTTGGCGTTATAGCTTGTATAACTTACTCGCACATTTAGTCAATTTTAGCGGCACCCCCTCACTAAAATCAAACAAACAAACACACACACACATATATATGTATATATTATATATATATATATATATATATATATATATATATATATATATATATATATATATATATATAAAATAAACATACATATTTCATTTTTTATTTAAACCCACAAACATGTTTGATTTAACATTAATTATAAACAACTATATATGCTGGAGCAAAGCCTTGCCGATTTGTCTTTGTATATTTCGATGAATGGTTGACTTCTACATCCAGCAAAGCCATTATATTTACAGCTAGAAAGTAGTATAATATATAAACGATTGAGACCATGGGAAAAAAATGTCTTCACTGCATTCGATTTGTTAGCATTATTTGTTAATATTTTAAAATATGTTAATCCAACTAGACGAAAAAAATAGAAAGTGTTCCTCGAATTTATCTAATTTTTTATTCATAAAAAACGTTTTAATAACAAGCTTTTATTTAATAACTAGACTACCCGTTGTCCAGTTAGATAACTGTGGGTTTCGGGGCTCATCCATAAATGACATCACGTCTGTCACTTATCATCACAAAATAACCAGACCCCACATTCAAAAAGACGTAAATTGAAAAAAAAAGTAACATTGATATGATGTGTCTAGAACCCGTGCGACCGGCATGGAAGACAAATACACTATCACCTTAGTTATCAAGGCTTGTGACGTCATAACAATTCTTGTGCTTCATATAAACAGTTTGACTCTGTATAAGAAACTTGATTTACGCGAATAGGCCCTAGATCTAGGATCTTTCAAATCACGTATGTCAGCACTTATCATCCCAAAATAACCAGACCCCACATTTAAAAAGATGTTTTTAATATTTTAAAAACTCTA